CACACACACACACACACACACACACACACACACCACACTCAGAGTGCATTAACACCTCCCTCTCTGTTCCTCTCAGCCCTGCTCCTTCATCCTCCTCATCCTCAGAGTGAACTGCACTTTATTTGTCACAACATGACCGAACTACTGATTCTTTTTTTTATAGGTTTGGTCGGAACGTTGTTCTAATTGATTCCAAGTGTTGGCTTTTATTTTTAATTCAGCTGTGAGACATCCAGACGAGCTCCTGCGTACGTGGGAGTGAAGTGTTTGATAAGATCTGGGTGACACATCCGGAGCTCCACCAGCTGATCACCAGGAGCCAATAAAACAGCTCCGCACACCTCCAGCACCTCAACTTTTCATCTTCCAGCCTGCTGGGAAATAAGAGTCCCCGCCGAGGAATGATTTCCTCGATCTGGTCACTCAGTAAACAGCTCACAGGTGGAAGTGGACCTAATGACCCGCAGGGTAGTCGAGTGGCTGTCTCGAGTCTTTTTAATTCAGCTGGACTGCTGAGTCTGGAGCTGTGGGATTGTCGAGTGGATAAAGAAACGAGAGTTTGACTAAAGAGAAACTAGCTGGATGTTTGACGCCTCGGTTCAGATTTTCTCATCATCTGTTCCTCAAATAAAACATGAAAAAAAGGTCTAGAGTTTTATCAAATGAGATCAACGAGTCACTGCAGGTTTCCTCTCTCCTTTAGTCCTGGACTGGAGGATGACCGACCCAAACCACCCCATGAACGCCCTGATGCGTCTGAACCAGATCCACCCGGGCCTTCAGTACCGCCTCCTGTCCCAGTCAGGTCCGGTCCACGCTCCCGTCTTCACCATGTCCGTGGAGATCCAGGGGACCACCTACCAGGCCACTGGGAACTCCAAACGAACCGCCAAGCTCCAGGTCGCCCTCAAGGTACTGGTAGGGTTTAAAGAAAGAGGAATTTACACAAGTCAACAAGTTTTAATCTGGTTAGATTATATTCTCAGGACAACTAGGCTGCAGCAGAAGTAGCTAAATGTAGATTTTACACAGCCAGCTGCCAGCTACTTTTGAACCATAGGCTTGAATAAAATCACCAGACTAAGCCCCGCCCATACCGTCCTCTGGTTGTGTCTGTGACAGCATGGAGGAGCAGAAACAGACCTAACAGAGGACAACAGCTCACAGCCTCCATAGAAACTAATAGATAAACAGCAGCTGAACCGGATCTGTTTCACAGATTATCTGTCATGTTTTTACAATAAATTAATAATTATGTTAATTTCATTCAACAATCATGTAAAACAGCAGATTTATACCAGAAAAATATATAATTTATAAGTAACAATGATCTAAACCAGACCTGAAGTCAGCCTGTAACTTAGACTTTAGCTAGTTGAAAAATGATGACTTCAGCTGTAATAAAGTATATTTATTATTTCTTCTTACTGTCATAAAAATAAGAATATTTATATTTATCAGTCACTTAGAAAATGTTCTCTGGTTATAGGATGAAACTTGTCTCTATTAGCTAACATCTTCTTAACAGGTCAGGTTCCTCTAACAGAAACCTAAAAATACTCACATTTATAATATTATTTTACACTCTGTAGGTGTAAATATTAATCAGACATTTATAATATTGTTTTACACTCTGTGGGTCTAAATATTAATCAGATATTTATAATATTATTTTACACTCTGTAGGTCTAAATATTAATCAGAGGACAAAGTAATATTTAATAGTTTGTGTTAAATTGTTGCATGATTCAACAGAGCTAAACTCTGTATAAATGCTCCACAAGCTAATATCTGCTAACCAGTTCAACAAATAACAGTGATTACATGGACTTTATAAGATTATTTTAATTTTAAACTGTTACATTATGTTCTGCTCAGATCACATTGAGATAAATAAGATCAAATCTGCTGACTTGTGTTGTGAAATGAGACGTTTTCCTGTTTATCTTCTGTTAATAAATCCATAACACAAACAGATTTTCTGACATTATTTAAAACATTAGATAGATTATATAAACTGTAAAATATTAATAATTGGATTAATATTATTATTAATAGTTTTAATGATTTCTACATCATCAGTCCTTTTTTTCTGCTCTGTTGTCATCATGTACAGTAATGGGAAATCCAGAGTCTTGACCATTTAGCGTTAGCCATTAGCTTCTCCAGCCGATCACAGGGTCACGTGGTTTTTGCGCACTCCAGCTGTTCTATAGAACCTCCATGTTTTGAACCCTGTACAGCTCCACCTAGTGGTGGGATGTCATAATTTGGTGAGTAAAATAATCAACATGCATTATGGGAGGTGTAGGGGCGGTTCTAGGGGCGGGGCCACAGGGGCATTGGCCCCAGCTGAAATCTGATTGGCGCTCTGAAGTGCTCCTGTCCTGTCACTCATCTGTCATTTTCCTGGGAGCAATGATGGCAGATGCAGTTTCATATCCAAACACTAGAGGCACTAATGAGTCAAATATGAAAGTCCAGCATGAATCAAGCTGACAGAAGTCTTAACTTCTTAAGAAAATCAGAACAATCCTGCAGAAAGTCTTTCAACTGACAAATGATGACTAGATTTCTCAAATGCTGTGTTTAAAAGTATTTTATCTAGTAAAAATGTACATAAAACTGGTAAGGAGAATTTATTGTGTAAGCTTTTTTAAAGAAATATATTACATTACAGACGTTTGGACATGTGTGACAGGTTAAACGTAAACACCAAAACTGGGGATTTGTGTGAAAGAAGGTTGAACAAATACTTGGCCCCTCTATAAATATAGTGACCCCTTGATGGCCCCTTACAAAAATCCTAGATCCACCACTGAGTTTATGGTCACTGCTGGCTTTAAAGCATCGCATCATACACTTATTTTAAAGACATTAAAACATGTTGGATGCTCTCTGGGCCCACATGAAAAGCCATGGAGGACCACATTTGGCCCGCAGGCTTTGAGTTAGACACACTAAAACTTTGTTTTGACTTTTTTTTTTTCCGGTCGGGCTCAGGCTCTGCAGGCCCTGGGCTACGTGCTCGGCTGCGACGCAGACCTGGACTCGCTGAGCGCCGACGAGAAGTCAGATGGCGAAGGCAAGAACGACAGGATGTCCACCAGCTCCAGCTCCACATCCGTCACCTCCTCCACAGAGACGCAGGAGGTGGGACACACACACACACACACACACACACACACACACACACACACACACACACACACACNCACACACACACACACACACACACACACACACACACACACACACACACACACACACACACACACACACACACACACCACAGAAATACCTCAAACAAAAAAACTATAGCTGGTTTTAAACTGTGCTCCTTCGTGTGTTCCACATAATAATCCTGCACATTCCTCTCTGTATCAATAAAAGCACAGTTTTGCTTGATGGTGTCCACCCTGTCTGCCTGCAGTCCAGAGCTCCAGGTCCAATCCTGACGGCAGGAGGGAAAAACCCGGTGATGGAGCTGAACGAGAAGCGCCGCGGCCTGAAATACGAGCTGATCTCAGAGAGTGGAAGCAGCTACGACAAACGTTTTATCATAGAGGTACGAACGTTTCTGAACGCCCTCCCAGTCGCGACTCTTGTTAGCCGTCGACTCGCTGCTTCCTGCATATCAAACCTGCTTCAAATGGCAGCGAGAACAGCTGAACCAGTTTATTCCTGTAAATTCTGTTCTGGGAGGGTTTTAAAGTTAGCTTGATTTCTCTTCTGTTTGTTGTGACAGGTGGAGGTGGACAAACAGGTTTTTCGGGGAACTGGTCCCAATAAGAAAGTAGCCAAAGCCAGTGCAGCGCTGGCCGCTCTGAACAGCCTGTTCTCTGGCTCCAAGTCTGCGAGCAGCAAGAAGAAACGACCCAACCCTCCTGTGAGCGACACACACCACAGATACACAGCTCCTCGTTCACCCGCTCACACTGACTTCACGTTGTGCTAACGTACACATTAACCCCCGCGGAGCAACGTTTCTGACCCTGAAATGATCCGTCTGTCTTTGTAGCCCAAACGACCCGTGACGTCGGTGCTGACCATCCCGACCCTCGCTGCCAGACCTCCTCGAGTCCCCGTGATCCCCAGAGCTCCTTACATCAGCTCCCCGCCCACACACAGCTACATCCCTCCAGGTGAGGAGCATGGAAAACTGTAAAAACTCTTCTTTATGGAAGTTTAATTTGTTTCTCTTTTTAACATGGACCTGTGTAAAGTTACACCAAGGGTTGAGCACCATTTGAATTTGAACGATTCCAGTTCCCCACGATTCTCGATTTTGATTCTTTTTAGAAACAGGTTCAGAAAGGTTTGCATGATTCAAATCATCTGACCAAGTCTTGGTATGGGATAAATCTTGTGTCAGCAGGAATTGAATTTGAATTGCTCAGATTGAATCTGGATGTGCATAATTTGAAATTGAATACATTGGTTTGAAAACGAATTTCACTCAATTTAAACTGAATTTAATTAAAACTAAATTCAGTTTCCAGCTCCAACTCTGTTCCAGGTTTCAGAAACATCAGATTCTGTTGACCAGAGATTCTTAACCCATGGGCCGCGAGCGCCACCTTTGAGGGCCTCAAAAGAACAACAGTTTTTAACTATGGGCCGCAGAAGGCCGTGGGATTGCATTGGTTTTGAAGAAGGTGCAATACACTTTCTCACCACTGCCAGCGGTAGTGCGCCACTCAGCTGTTTTAACAACTTTTTAATATGTAGAAGAAGAACCATAGAAACCTGCTGATAATGGAAACCTATTTTAAATGAAAAGTAGAAGCAAAATTCAATGTAACTCGTCAAAAAACACCAAAGTTTGTCACTAATATGAAGTTCAGCTTCTGGTTCTACCATGCAATATTTTAAAAGATCAAAACATTATCAAATACAGTTGCAGATACAACTATATTTTAATTTGCACTTTAAATTAATTTTTGTAGTTTATTTTTAAACATTCTGAATGTATTTTAAAGAAATTTTAAACTTGTCAAAAAGCTGTTGTTACTGTTATTGTTTGTCACTAATATGAAGAGCAGCTTCTGGTTCCAAAAGCTTAAAAATTCTATATTTTCATTTGTACTTTATCAAGTTTATTTTTACATATTTTTAAAATTTGAAACATTTACATTAAACATTTTTAATTTATTTATTTTATGCCCACAATTTTATTTTTTGAATTGTCTATTTTTTGTTATTGTTTATGTTAAAATATATATATATTTTTGTGCTGATAAGCCTGAGTGGTCTGTTGACTGACCTTTGTATTTGTTCAAATATGGGCAGATTACAATATAAAAATGTTTGTCATAATCATGTCTTGTGATCATTTGACAGGGGTTTTTACTTTTAAACTGTAAGTTTAATTTAGTTATGATAGTTTAGTTATGATGTAAATACAATAAAAATTAAACCAAGATTTAGAATAATTATCATTTTGATCTGTACAGTGGTAATGTCTGACTGGGCCTCGTGTCACTTTATGTTCAATAAATTGGGCCCCGAGGTCAAAAAATTTAAGAACGACTCACATTTACACACAAATCCACACCTTCTTCTTTCCCCTCTCCCAGGTTTTGGTGCTCCTTACGGCTACAGCCCTGCAGGCGCCCTCCCTGCTTACGGTAAACCCTCCGCCTCAGTCATCCATCCATCCATCCATCCGTTCATCCTCTCATCTCAAAATTTGAGTTTGATGTTTTGGTTCTTCCTCAGGTTTTCCCTCCAGATTGCCCTCAATAGTTGTTCCCGTCATCAGAGTCCCCCCAGCTTACCCTGTCACTCACCTCTACCCCTATTAGGACCCCTCGCCCCCCCTCAGTCCACTTGTTAAAGGAAAACCCTCTCTTGAGCTGTGTGGTCTGTGGGTTTGGCTCCAAACCTTTCAGAGTCATTAATCCCAACTGATTCATTAAAAGTGTCGGACTGCACGAGCTGCTGAAACCAGACTGAAACTAAAACAATTAATGAGACAAAAACACCAACAATTCAGGGAATTTAACTCATTAGATCAGTAGGTTTGATTTGGTTTACAGATCCTGACTGCCAGCAGGATAAATTAAAACCTTCTCTGTTTCTACTTTGTTTTTTTACAGATTTATCTCCACTTTTTAGGTTGTGATAAAACCTTTAATATGAATTTGTTCACCTTTATTAATTTTTTCAAAACAAACTTCTGTAAATAAAAGGAAGAACTGATTATCATAGAAAAGCTGAATTCGTCTGTTTTATATTTTCATTTTTGTTTTGTTTTTGTTGTTGAAGTGTTTGTTGAAAATGTTTGTGCTCATTTCTGTTTGAGTCGTGCACATTTTCACTTCCACCTCAGATTTCTACAACTAAAACTGCAGTGTTACGTTTTTAGATCAAGGTTTGGAAAATATGAATTTCTGTTAAACAAAAATCTGCAGCTGTAATTTTAAGTTCATTAAAAATATATTCAATAAATATATTGTTGGAAATTTAAAGTTATATTTATTTTATTTCATTAAATAATTAAAAGTTTGTTGTGTTGAACCAAATTAATACAAATCTTTACAAAACAACTGGACCTTTTTAATAATTACATTTTATCAGCAGCTGAAGGAGTTTAATATAAAGAAATTTAACTTGAGGAATAAAATCCAAACCAACTGTTTTAAAGAGTGGAATATTCCTTTAACAATCCCTCCTGGACGTTTGTGTTAATCTGTTTTGTTTTGTTCTGTTGAGAGAAAAAGAAACTGGTTTACAAAAATCTGATTTACTGAAAAACGTTTTTCTTTTGTTTACATTTGCTGTTTGAGCCACAGAGTTCAAATCTTTCTGCACAGAAAACTCTCATTTTGACCTGTTTGTAGCTAATGTTCTTTCTAAATAAATATTATTTTGTCAAATATGTTTCTGCTTTTTGTTGTTTTTCATAAGAACCCATTTTTTATTTGATATTTTATAAACATTTTTGTTGTTTTTTGTCTTAAAATCAAAGTTAAATTGCCTAACATTCACCATTTTTGTTTTTTGAAATTTTAGCTTTTAAACTGGCAAAACATTAGCTACAAGCTATTCTAGCTTTTGAAACAGTAGCTACAAGCTAACTTATTCTAGCTTTTGAAACAGTGGCTACAAGCTAACTTATTCTAGCTTTTGAAACAGTAGCTACAAGCTAACTTATTCTAGCTTTTGAAACAGTAGCTACAAGCTAACTTATTCTAGCCTTTRAAACAGTAGCTACAAACTAATTTATCTTAAAACAGCAGCTACAAGCTAGCTTATTCTAGCCTTTAAAACAGGACAGTTTGGAAAAGCGTAGGTAAAAGCTAAACCTACAGTAAGTACGCTGAAGAGTTCTTTATTCAGAAACAAAAAGGTAAATAAAAGTCAAAAATAGGTAAAATTTACAAAAAGCTAAAGCCAAAGCATTCATGTCTGAAATGAGCTGAAAGTTTGAAAACTTTGTTTAAAAAATCTAAATGTTTGTAATATTTTGTTCCATCTGCAGGTGGTCTGTACATCGACAGTGCCTACTACCAGCCGCAGACCATAGCCACGCCTATAATCATCCACCTGGGCCCCCAGGACCTGTTCTGACCCCGCTGACATTCTGGCACCAGACCCTCCGCTTTAATCTCTCGTCTTTTATTAAAGTCTGTCAGCGCCCCCCTGTCCCCCCCACTCCGCAGGCGGCAGCAATAAAACAATATGCAAGAAGACGAGACCTGCAGCGACACCAGACCAGGTCTGGTTAAAGTCGGGGGGGCGGGTCTGGTCCAGGCCTCACCCAGCAGACTTGGAAGAAATGTCAATAAAACACAAAGCAATACTCAGACTGCCTTTAGGGACCCCAGGGGGTCCGGAGCACAGGACCCAAATCAAAGAGAGGACATGAAAGTGAGACTGTATGTACATATGATTTATCTGTGTTTTATTGAAACAAACTGTAAAAACTGTAGTGACTGAAATAAACTTTCATTAAATATTTACTTATATATGAATTAAAATACATTTTACAGATTGTCTATACCACTGTATCCATATGAAGATATAATCCTGTATTAAACATGTAGATTAACTGTCTGGATGTGAGATTTAATTCACAAAAATATAAAATAATTATCTTTTATTTGGTAATTAGGTCCTGCATTCTGATTTACTTCATTTTCTTTAAATCCAAAGTTTGTTTCTTCAGGAGGAAGCTGAGATACGGTGAGTTGGAGGCAAAGTTTTCTCTAAAAGTAGCCGTAGAAGTAAAATGTTTATTTGAAATTTTAATATTTTAGAATTGAATATAACCTTTTCTAAATGCACCAGAATAAAACAAGATTTTCTTTGGCTTGCTTCAAAGAAAACCACTCGTTCACAAATATAGAAATAATAAAATGTTGTTTATTATGTTTGATATTAATTTTGTGTTTGTTATTAATTTATTAAACAAACTGTATGTTCATCAGTTTAATCAGTGTCACTATAATAATCATTAACGGTTTTATGACCCAAATCAGCTGAAAGTTTAGCAGTTTTTTGACTTTTCTTTCCTTCAGACAAAAAACTTCAGCTCATTTCTCGTTTGCAGGGGCGGGGCCAGATGGGGTGGGGCCAGAGGGGCGGAGTCACAGGGATGGCCATGGTGGCAACTGCCATTGGCCACCCCTAAATAACGACAAGTGGGTGTGGACGATTTTGTATTTACGTTTAGGTTTTGTTAAAGATTGTTTTCTGATACTACTGTACTATGTAATTTTTTTAGTTGTGCATGTTTAAAAATGGCTGAACTTTAGCCCTTTGCATTACTGGTTAGCTTAATTTGGGATTAGCATTGGTAATAGGTCAGCTACGCCACAACGAATTTCATCATTGTCTTAAAATTGCTGAATTTTAGCCTTTTAAAGTTATCTGTGGTGGCCATCTTGAATTTTTGATTAGCATTTAGAATTCTGTAAAGATTGTTTTTGGCTACTTCTACGCTAATCTTCAGCTTCGTACGTCTAATAACAGCTGAATAATACGTTGTGGTTAGCATTTACCTTGGTCACAAAATTTCAGCTCAATATTTCGTAAAACAGCTGATTTGAACCCATTTGGAACTGTGTGTGGCGGCCATTTTGAATTTTTAAATCCAGAGTGCTTTTCTTTATTTGCATGTGCCCCCCTTAAAACACACCTTGGCCACCCCTTGTCAAAAAGTCTAGCTCCGCCCCTGCTGAGGTAAATCAGAGCGCAGGACTCCTCTGAGACTGAATCAGGGATGTTTTGTTGTTTTTTTGTTTGTTTGTTGTGAGGCGGAAGCACGAGGCAGGTCCAGATCCTGACTGTATTTTTAGCAGAGGAGGAGAAGCCAGAAGGTGTTGGGTTACGCAACGTGGGCGCAGGCCGCCCTGACTGATGGCAGTTTGTCATCTTATATCAGCTCCCAGGAGCACGACAGAGAGGGAATAAACTTTTATCACCTCGTTAGCCCAAAAGCAAACACTTATGATGTCAGAAAACACCTTCATCTGGATGAGATGAGGTGTCCAAACTCCTGCAGCCAACTCACTTCAGGGTTTTTATTGTTTTTAATAAACTAACCTTATAGTGGAACATTCACCTCTGTTTAAACTTTATTACTGAGCTCCTAGAATATACTGCAGGTTAAATATTAACTGTTTCATCAGTTGAAGTCATGAAGACAAGAATAAAGCTAAATGAACCAAACATGAGCAGATGCACATTTATAAATGATCCAACAGAAATCAGAAATATTGAGTTAAAAATATAGATTCTACTAAATTTAATAGTGTTAATGTCTACATGCAACCAGAGAATGACCACAGCAGCCTCTGCTGGTCGACTTCACTCTAAAAATATTTCACTTTTTCTTAAGCGATGTTTCAATAAAACATTTACAGTAAGAGTAATGTCAATTATCTAGATCTGTTGTTTCAAAAATCTACACCTTTTATATAAATTTATCCATTTAATCATGTGTTAACAAAATTATAACAGGAAGAAAAACATGAAAGAAAGAAGAAATAAACAGAAGAAT